AAAAATCTGTTTTTTAAATGCCAATTAGCTGTTGCAGCAGGTAAAGTATCCAATCCCCCTCTTCCACACACACACACACAGGTATCAGATTTCTCCACATGCCGGTGTTTCTTGAGGCTATTTTTGTGCATTGCCAGGTGAGTCCCAATCTAACCGGGCAAGCCATCTGTAACAAGGTGCCAAATAGAACGTTACATTTCTTTTCTGAGGATCAAATAGAGCGTTACTTTTTTTTAGCAAAAAATAGAGCGTTACCGGTAAAGGAGGCCCACTCCTGTGACTAACGGGCTGGCCCATGTGGACTAATATGTGGGCTTTCTGCTTTCGAGAACATTCTAAAAAGTTTCCCTAGGTTTTCCGGCCGGTTTTATTTGTTTTTTCGAAGACTTTTTTATCATTTTATTTTTTAAAATAAATATATTTGTATTTTCTTCAAATTAGTGATTTTATAAAATGCATGAACTTTTATTTAGATTAGAAAATGTTTTCCAAAATTCATAAACATTTTCAAATTCGCGAAGATTTTCTAATTCATAAATATTCTTTCAAATTCTCATGTTTGTAAAAAACCTGTAATATTTTATAAATTTACGAACATGTTCTTATATTCGCCAAAAAATAATTCATGATTTATTTTTCAATTCGTGAAGATTTTTGGAATCCGTGAACGTTTTTAAATTCAAGAATATTCTTCAAATTAGTGAAAATAAATAAATTTGTGATTATTTTAGAAAATATATGAACATTTTAATTTCACCATTTCTTTAGAAGTTACCGGAAAAAATTACTGTTTTTTTCTTAAGACTACAAACCACCCTCAGCACAAGATGGGCAAAAAATAAAAAAGCAAACCAGAACGAGGAGAGTCTGGCTGAGCGAGTACAACGTGTGCGAGCACCGAGCAAGTTATTTGGGTATGTCCATTTTGCTCGACATGTGAGCCATAGCAACATTAAGGCGCAATAGGCGCTGAATAAGAGCTCCTGTCAATCGTTGCCGAAGGGTTTTCTTTTGCAACAGGCATCATGATCATCTATATCTATATCTATATTATCTATATATTTTCAAAAAAAAGTCTATATCTATATCTATATCTATACCAATATAAAAAGACCCAAAAAGGCAGATCCAATTAATCTTGGCCATCAAATCATGTCAATCCAACGACCTGGACTGCTTCATTGTCGAGCGCTCAACACGTTTAGCGTGCAGTTAATTTCATGCCAAATATAGTGCTAATCACATAATAACACGCAAATAATATCCTACTTAATATCCGCATGCACTTAATATACTTTCAAATAACGCGCATTGCATGTACACATTGACTAGTTGCATAAACATCTAATTTAAAATGTGAAATTAAGGATAACTCAAAACCTCCTAAAATGCTTTAGAATGCATCACGAAAATCGATACACTAATGCATGTCCTTCAGAAATCTTGTAATATTCATCATAGCTTCACCTATATGTGAGAAGTCTACCTGTAAATTTCATGAACTGTGGATGGACAACTCCAGAATTAAAATTTCAACCCTTAGTAACTTTAAAATGGTAGATTAAATGCATATTAAATTGAGGGACTTCTGCTTTGTGAAATATCTTGAAAATTTATGAATAGTCTTCCAATAATATTAGGAAGCTGCAATAGATTTTCATAACTTTTGGAACACAAAAAGTCACAATCTTGTAGTTTGCCCCAATTTAAATAAAGTAGCTTGCCTTCTCTCAAACTATTTGTATCAAGAATGTGGCATCCCAGCCCACGCCAAGCAACAAGGGATGAGCTGAATTGCTTGCCTTGTAACAGGGGTTAGTAGCTTGCCTTCTCTCGAACTATTTGTATAATTTGCTCAGATTCTGTTCTATTTAGTTGTTAGTGTCACTAACTTGCTCTAAAAGAGCCCTGCTTTGGTACACCCCCTCACAAAACGTATAAAAGGTAATATAGACTTTCCATGAATTATACAATCGTATATTGTATACATATTAATTAATGTATGTAATTTAATTTTTTTAGGCGAATGTACGTAATAGTTCAGTTTTGGGTAAAAGTGGCGACCAAACGGCCAGGCCAATGCAAGCGCTAAGCAAATGCGGAAATTTCGTGAAAAATATAAAACCACATGTAGCAGGAGTCGAAACCCAACATAGACATGCATGCTAATGGTACTAGCCAGACGAGCTAGCCACTGACGATGGATGAAAAGCAGCCCTAAAGTTTAAAGTACCAATTAAATGGCAGATCCGTTTTTTTAATTTTCATCATTTCTTGGAAAAAATAACAAATTTTCTTGGAAATGCGAACATGTTTTGAAATCATAAACAAATTTCGAATATTCTTTTCTTAAATGCGAACATTTTCTTAGTGTACGGTGAACTTTATTCAAATACACACTGAGCTTTTTTTAAATAATGCTGATTTTTTTTTTGAAATGCATGCTGAACAAAAATTCTATACATGAAGAACATTTTTTTTATAAGTGAACATTTTCCAATATACGTTGAACATTTTTCTTCAATACGGCGAACTATTTTAAGATGATGTTTTCTGAAAAATGAACAAAATTGGAATTTTGAACTTTTATTGGAATTTGGAATTCCAATTTTTTTTGAAACGTGAATAATTTTGAAAAATATGGTTTTTTAAGACATGAAAAAAATTGGGAATTTCAACATGTTATAAAATTCTAAACATTTTTTGAAAAATTTGAATTTAGGAAAAACAAAAAGAAAACAGAAAAAAGAAACAAAATAAGGTAAGAAACAAGGTGTGAGGTGACGGCCGCGGTCCAAAAATGGACAAGAGAAGTCTCGACATGATCGTCAATGATGCCCTCAGATCTTTACACATTTTTGTACGAATTACTGATGCAACATGTCGACCCTATCTAACATAAACAAGCAAATTGAAAAACTGGGGTAGAACCATGTTAAAAGTCTCCAAAATATGATATTTCAATATAGGTTCTACTAAATGGGGTAATATGTGAATGTACAACTATAGGGTAAAAGGTAGAAATCACTCTAAAATAAATTATAGAGGAAAGTGTTTTAGTACATGGAACCATATGACTATATGATCCATCAACTGGGAACATCCGTGATGCACAAAAACCAAGCGAGAGATAACATTTGTTTAGTTGAACCAAACATCCATGCAGCAAGACAAGCTGTCTGATATAGTTGCATCATCCATTGTGTATAGAATTACTTCCGATGGGCCTGGGGAAGGAACAATACAACCCCTCGGGTCGCTCCCGCCAGTCAAAGCCCTAGCCGCCGCCAGTCAAAGCCCTTCCACTTCTCCTTCCCTCGCCGCTGTCAGCGAACGCCGCCTGGGCAAAGCCCGCACGGCTCAGCGGCGGCGGGCCATTTCCTCCTCGTGTTGGTGCTACGCCAGCACGGGCTGCTAGCCACGGCAGGATCTCGGGCGCTGCCTCGCACCAGTGTGCACACTGGTTGGGAGTGGCCGCGGTTCAGCACTGGGAGGCGTGCGTAGGGGCGGTGCAGCGTGGCTGCATCGGGGTGGCCGTGTCCTAGCGATTCTAGGGGCGCGGCGATCTGGAGCGCCGGCAAGGGGAGGCGTGTGCGAGGGATGCAAGGGGAGCACAGATTCTAGCGGCCTGCGCGGATCTCGTGCTCCGACGTGGGGAGGCGCTTTTTGAGGGATCTGGCTGACGCAGATCTGCGCGTGGTGGGCCCAGACGGGCATCCTGGGCGTGCGGGAGGTGTAGGCAGCGTGGATCTGCTGCGTGGGCATCGTGGCAAGGGCGCTGGGCGTGCGAGGGGCTCGAAGGTGATGGTGGTGTTGCGGCAGCAAGGTGTGCAAGGGGCCTGCGCGACAAGGAAGTTTAGTTGCGTGCCGTGGGCGTTTCAGATCTGGTCTCTGGTGGGTGCTTTGTGGCGTGCATGGTGCACGTTGACGCGCTTGATGCATGACTGCGGCCCGAATCCATGGTGGCTCCTGGCCTCGGGCAGCGTGCCTATACCCCTTGCCGGCATGGTGCTTGGTACGCCATGGGCTGATGGCGGTGGCTGTGGCTATCGTTGACCTTTTAGAGGCATTGCAGCTCTGCTGTTGCACACCTCACACGGATCTAGCCGGCGGTGCAGCTCCAGGGGAAACCCTTGATCCTGAGTGATCAAACGATGGTGGCGCCTTGGTGTCATTTTCCCTCTAGGGGGCTTCATCTTTGGAGCTGGACATCGACATGCGGGACAAGTGGATGGCGTCGGTATTCGCTCGAGGTTTTTGTGGCAACAATAATGGGGGTGAACGAGGTCGGAGACGTGGCGTCGGTTGAGGTTGTTGGCTCTTCTCCGGCGTGTCTGTGGGATTGCCTCGGCTGTTTGTCGCAGTGAAGTCTAAGCTGCCGTGGCGGGGCCAGGTGGTATATGATGACAAGCGATGGGTGGTCCGTTCGGTAATCCTCCACGGCGCCAACCTTGCCTACATCTCCTTCGTAGTTCTCCGTCAGAGGCCTGCATGTGGCTCCATATAGCCTCTTCCGCGTTGGTTGGGTCGATGATCATCTGCGGCAAAGTCGGAGTCGTTTGCTCACTGTTTTAGGGTTGGCGATGAGACCTACTAGAGGAGAAGTGATGACGATGACGTCTACGTGCGGTCTTGATGATGCCCTAGTTGAAGACTGTGTGTTGGGTATCCTGTGTGCAGCTCAGTGGTTTGTGATGGTTTTTCGCCCGGTTTTCCAATAATTAACTGGGCAACTTTTTTCTGCTTAATTAATGGACGAGGCAAATCTTTTGCCTTTGTTTCGAAAAGAAAAGAAAAAGTACTTCCGATGACATAATCTGTTCGATACATATATCTACGAATATATGCGTGAAATCATCTCACGTCTCAAATCCAGCTCATTACTGCTAAATCATTCCACAAGTTTTTAGTAGTGCTACCACAACATTATCTCAAATATAATTCTAGTTATAAGTAGGATGTAAGGGCATTATCTCTCCGTCGGGCCATGAGGTAAACATCTAACAATCATTGGATGAACCAACGATAGTGAGATCCGCCTTCACAACGCAGCTCGATCCTACTACATAGCCTTCCGACGGGTCCTTGAGTTTCTTGAGTCCAAGGAAATTAGCCCATCCCCAGCTGCGTCCACCTGTAAACACCAGGAGACCTGCGATCACCATAAAAGTAAGAAGATCAACTCACGAACACTAGCTTCTTGAATCACACATATCAGTAGGACTGATAATTGCTAAGGAGAGCTGAACCTGAAGTTCCAGTCAAGTGTTTCCCGTTCTTTTGGTCCAGGATGGACAGAGTCATTACAACCACCTTCTTGGACTTGAGATGGAGCTCATCCGAGACATCCAGGTATAAGTACAAGCTGAGGCAATCAGTGCTGTACTTGTCACCACGCGGATACATCCGGACGTACCTGTTGAAGAAAATGGGAAGTGTCACTTCAAATATAATTGGGTACCCGGGAAAATATATTTGAAGGGCTGGTTACTGAAATCAGAAAGTTGTGGCTGAGCTTGGCTGTAGTCAAGAGAACTTTGGACACAACTTGGTAGCATTACAATTGTACAAAAAAATCTGAACAATATATCACTACAGTAGAAGATAGAGTACCATGTTACACAAAAACAATCTGAGAAAATAATCGATGGTATGTGGCACATCCAAGAACAGGTGGTACCAAATATATACATAATGAAATTTCTAGCTTTTATTCAACATAGAATTTAGTACTAGTTTCCGAATCTTTGGTGCAGCATGATTACAGAAACCTGTTTCTATTGAAACTGGAATGCCTACGCATATCTGTAAATAAAATAGAAGTACAGTTCTTTGGTTGTATAATGCTAAACTGTCCAGTTAAAATATTTGAAGGACCTTGCCTTGCACAAAGAACTGGCCATCACTAAGTTCCTAAAGTGAGTAGGTACGGTGAGCTAAAGGATACATATAAGCTAAAATGTTGGATAACGCATGCATGCCATTTATATAAATCATTTGTGATGTAACTGCCTAACTGGTAACAGGTGCATACCATTTATGCCCACCAACTTCAAATGTAGGAGAACGGACAAAGTGATCCAAGTCCAGTTCAAGGAAATTGTTCATGTTCCAAGTGTATGTCCCTTTGACGAACCCCTTCTTCTGAACAAAGAGGTTCTGAACTGTCGTAGGCTTCTTCTGAACCACAACAGCCTTCTTTTCAGGAGAAGAGACATCAATTTTTAATATCTCCACGCCGAAGACACAGCTATCCTCAACTAGAAAAGCAGATGATTTCAGTAGCTCCTGCGAGCGTGGGATGGCACGTTCGATCTGTGCGGGTAGTGGCGTGTGCATCGGCCGGCCCCGTTCGATCCAGCTGAATAAGAGAACGAGAAAGCAAGAAAAGCAGCAAGGCATTCGCTGCGCAAAACCTCAAGTGTCTACCTTTGTTCGTCAGAGCGAGAGTGAGAGAGGAAACAAGCGAGCGATCGGCTGACACTGACAAAATGAGAAAGGAAGAAACAAATAAAAGATCTTTTGCATCCAGTTTACCAATCATTGACAAATGTTGTCTGGTCTTTTTTATTCCTATCTTGTTTATGAGATCAGCTGTAGCATATATTTTTTCCATAGCAGGTAAAAAAAAGGTGATCGATAGCTTTGTACTTCCTATTTTTTTTCACTTGCTTGGCACTGTTGACCATGACATTTTATATTTACGGGGACTGCTACAGTGTTGTTAATGTAAGGTTGCTGAATTGTTTATAAGGGCAGTCTCCAAGGAATCCAACTTTGTGTATTGTGTAATCTTGGTGTGCATTATGTATGTGGCTCAATTCTAATGGAAGCAAAAAACTCAGTATGATTGACATGAATATTATATCAACTAAATTTACATTATTCTGTACATGCATGTACTATCTTCAGTTAAAGTATCTAGCTCTCTGCGGTATTCGCCATTTACTCCCTCCGTTCCAATATCTAGTGCGCATAGATTCTAGTTCAGATACCAATGTATGTGCTGGCACTAGAATTTGGACGAGAAAGCCCCCAGCCCCTTGCACGGTTTGGAGTACTACTTGAGAGTTGGAGTACTACTTGGTCTCGTGAGTAGAGAAGAAAATGGCGGCATGGCTAGGCCTTGCCGGCGGTGAGCCCTCGCGACTTGATCTTGCTGGACGCGGAGACGCCCGCCCACCGTTACTCAGGCGACTCCTCCTCCAGCGCCGTCGCTCGTCGGACGGCTCCTCCCCTATTCTTCCTCCTCCTCTCCCCCTCACACTCCTTCATCAGGAGGGATTAGCAGGACCAGCACAGCCATCCCATTACCACCTCCTCCGCGAGCCCCATGGCATTAGGAAGGTCTGCTTGACGGTCACGCCGGCAGCCACATCCGTGACTTCCCGGCTTCCCGCTACCCGCGTCCACTGCCGCGGAAGCCAAAAAATACTGTAGATGCTCCACATGTCGCCGACGCTTGCGTGCGCGTGCTCGCGCTGGAGCTCCAGCGGCTGGGGAACCTGCTTTGCACCGCTGTCCATCGCGTGTGTGCGTGAAGTGCGCGCTGGAGCTCGCCCTCCGCGTTACGTACTACGGCCGAGACGGCGCCCCATTCTCCTTGCTCCTGCGGTGGTGGAGGCGGCGAGGCAAGGAAACAGTGAGGCCAGGCGACGGTCGCTGACGCGGAAACGCCAGTCATGGATGCGGAGACTCAGGGCGGGACGCCGGCCATGGATACTGGAACACGGAGACGACATTGCGGGAGCAGGGGATACGCGAGGAAGGTGATGCGCAAGGGGAGGATAAGGGATATTTTGGTCAAGAGTGGGGTAAAGAAGCAAACACGCACTACAATATGGAATTTTGCCAAAAAAGTTATGCGCATTACATTTCGGAATGGAGGGAGTATCTTTTTTACTTTTTCAGTTGTCACAAAGAAATCATTTCAACTCTGATGCACATCTGACCAAATCGTGTTTCATTGCTTCTACAGATTAATCATATCATTGACCAACTTGCAATTGTGACATTTCCAAAACAAAAATGCCAAGACGATGATCAGTGGATAGTAATGGTTGCAAAATACCAAATTATCTAACTTAAAGTGCCTAGCAGATGTACATTTCTTGAGATAATACCATATCCCTCAGCCACCGGACAAGTTCTGGTTGCTACTGGTTTTACATGTAAGAGTTCAAGAATTTTACATCTCCTCATGCGACTCCCTGCTCATCGGTAATACCAGGTTAGTTATCAATATATGCACTGGCGAGCCAAAAAAATATATTATTAGCATGTTTGATGCTGAGAAAGCAGTGTCTGATGAGTTGGATCGTAGTGTTATTTGCTTCACATCATTAACTTGAATAGTCTCCACATCATTGCCTATTTCTGGACAATGCATTGCACGAGCCAGTATAGTCATTGTGCAACATAAGGTTTTGAAGTAATTCAGGTTGCATCTGTCTTGGAATGATCGAAAATTTTAGTATAAATCAGGAACCTAGGTAGCAAATATGGAAACCTGCAGAGACCGGGGGTAATCCTCCTTTATATGGAAGCTATCAAGATGACAAATTTTTGATACACGGTTTATGATATCGTGGCGAAATACTTATCAATTGCGTATGTAATTTGGAAGCCAATAAATGCAATAATCTTGTTATAGAATGCTAATTAATTTCGTATTTAATTTGCGGGAAACAGTAAATGCCGTAATCTTGTACTCTATATGGAGAAAGGTCTGTCACCCTCTCTCCCCCGCCCCCGCGCCGCCCCTAGCGGGCGCCACGGGGGGTGATTCTCCTCCTGCCGGCGTAACCTCCCTCTCTCCATCTTCTCCTCGCCGCCGCACGAGGCTGGCGCCGGGCCATGCCTGGGGCGCGGTCTGGGACTGCGGCGGCGGGGCCGGCTCCGCTCCGATCTGCATCGGAGGGTCTTGGATCCGGGCGGCGGCCCCTGGCGAGGCTCCCTGTCTGCTGCGGCGGGTAGTGGGGTGGGCGTGGTGCCGGCGATCTGGTCGGGTGGCCGACGGATCTCCGATGGCCTGGGGCCTCGCGTGGCGGCCGTGGCGGCTGGCGGCGCCAGATCTGGCTGCTGGCTTTCTTCCCTGCTCGGTGCACTTCTCCTGCGAAGGTTCCTGGGTGTGCTGGATGGCCTGCCTATGGGATGCGGGCGATTTTGGTGGTCGGGATCCAGATCGGGGGAAACCCGGGTCGGCTCCGGCTGGCCGCGACGACGACGACGCCCGCGGGCGCCGATTTCTTCATGGAGACGTCTGTCAAGGTCTGCCCTTCCACTCCCCACCACCTAGCTTCTCGGGTGAAAACCTAACTCCGGTGGGCGGCGGCGGCGTCTTTGGCGCCGCGACCTTCTTGAAGGCGCCGCCTTGAGGGCTGGGTGGTGGCGGGCGCTGTTTGGGGTCGGTGACAGCTGCCGATGGCGTGCCCTTCTTCGCCCAAGCCTTCGCTTTTCCTCCGACGCGTTCCGGTTCTCCTGGGGGCGTCGTTTTGGAGTAAGTGTTGGCTGGGGCGATGGTGGAGCGGTGCTCCATCTCACACATTGATGGCGGCGGATGTCGGCAGCATGGCGTTGTGGAGGCTCGACGTCCGATGCACGGAGATGGACTCGCGCAGGAGGAGGTTGCTGTTTGGCGTCATGGTGGCGCCAATGGCGGAGTGGCCAGACATGGTAGAAGCCTCAATTTGATCTGAAGACGGACCTGTGGAAGATGGCGGCGACGACACACGAGTGCGTCTGACCGGATTATGCCCCAGACCCGGTATGTGGCTCGGCTGGGGCTTCCGAATGTGTTTCGGCTTCCGGCTTTTGATGTTAGGTTTACGTGAGTGGTCTGGGTAGTGGCCCGGCTAGCACCCCTTCATCATATTGGATAGGAGTAGTGGCATATGTTGCCAAGATGGTGGATTCAGGCACATTGGTGTAATACTTTGTATGGTCCTCGAGAATAATCAATAAAGTGGCCGTATGCATCTTCTAGATGCAGAGGCCGGGGGTCATCCTCCTTTTCTAAAAAAAATATAGAATATTATAACTAATTTGGTATGTAATTTGTGGGAGACGGTAAATGGCACGATCTTGTTACGGGATGTCAAACAAATTTGTAGTATGTAATTTTTGGGAACCAAT